TCGGGCATATCTATTCAACCCGGCCAATACGCTTAGGTGACGGTAAGATATGTATTGCGATTTGACACTGCGATTTTATTGCCAGTTGCTGTTCCGAACATATTACTCACTATATGTCTGCTGCAGAGAGAAGAGGGAGAGCAGAAGACAATGAGTTTTGATCAGTCATGGAAATAAAAGTGCTGAAGATATGTTGGCTCACTATTTACAAAGAAGAGGTGTAGGATGAAAAATAACTGCGTTTTGGTGCAGGTATAGCCGTCTAGCGATAGCTAGCACTACCTAGCAAAAAAAATAGCAAAAAATAAATATCTTTTTTTATTGTATTTTTAGAGTCAAATATTGTCAAAATCGTCCAAAATAATATTGCCATATGTGACTATCGATTTTCTTCCCCTTATCACTATTGTTCATACCTTCTATGACCTGCCAACCCGGACCAATCACAGGGGAGTATTTACCACCCTAGAGGTCAGGGCTCTGTCTGCTCGGTCTCACCTTTGACCTCTCCCTCACCTCTGTCTGACCTCACAGCCACAGACGGCCCTGTTGAAATACCAATGCTTCATCCTGTCCCCTTCCCTCCTTTTCTTGGAGTAATCACTCATCTAAGGGGTAGAAGGGTTTAGAAAAAATAGTGTTTGGGTCAGGGTGTTGGACTGTGCTCTCTGGCCAGTTAAAGAGTAAGCCATCATGGGGGGATTGTGTGTGTTTGTGTTTCTTTTAAGCAGTGTTGTAATCAGGGCCAAGCTGTAGCCTGATGTTGAGGTCTTTGGTTCAGTCTGAGCTCTAAGCTGCAGGCCAGAAAGCACTACTCTCTCCGAAGATGGTGGGTAAATGAAGATGTCCCACAAATTGACGCAGTTCCGGTCTGCTTAAGGGGTGGCTCTCCCACAGGCAGCAATGCATTAGCAGCTGAGTCTGGTCTGCTTAGTTTATTGACTGTTTATGAACCAGAAAAAATGGGCGAGAGTCTCTCTTCCATCTCTGCTCTCTCTCTTTTCACTCTCCCTCTCTGTTCTTAGCTCTCTCTCTTCTTCTCTCTTCTCTCATTCTTTCTCTAGGCTCTAACACATACAGAAAAACCCTCTCTTTCTCCTCTTTCTACAGAGGTATTTTTAATTTCAGTTGACTTCTTGGGGCTTAAGAATATTCTGCCTCTCTGTCTGGATGGGTTTCTCATGGGGGTAGATGTAGGGGGTGGGGGTATTGATGGGGGCAGATCTGGAGATATGGGTTTGTGGTCTTCCCCTGGTTACCATAGCTTTTGTGTGTTCATGCTATTAATAGAGAGAGGAATGGTACAGGCCTGGGAATTCTGTCCTCTCCGGATAAACAAACTACTCTCTCTCTCGCGCTTCCCTCATTTCAGCTATTTTTTCCCATCCTTGCAGGAGAGAGAGAGAGAGAGAGATGTGTTCCAAAAAAGTTTAATGAGCTGAAATAAAAGATCCAAGAAATTTTCCATAAGCACAAAAAGCTTATTTCTTTCAAATGTTGTGCACAAATTTGTTTACATCCCTGTTAGTGAGCATTTCTCCTTTGCCAAGATAATCCATCCAGCTGACAGGTGTGGCATATCAAGAAGCTGATTAAACGGCATGATCATTACACAGGTGCACCTTGTGCGGGGGACAATAAAAGGCACTCTCAAATGTGCAGTTTTGTCACACAACACAATGCCACAGATGTCTCAGGTTTTGAGGGAGCATGCAATTGGCATGCTGACTGCAGGAATGTCCACCAGAGCTGTTGCCAGAGAATTGAATGTTCATTCTCTACCATAAGCCGCCTCCCACGTCGTTTTAGAGAATTTGGCACTACGTCCAACCGGCCTCCCAACCGCAGACATGTATGGCATTGTGTGGGCGAGCGGTTTGCTGATGTCAACGTTGTGAACAGAGTTTCCCATGGTGGCAGTGGGGTTATTGTATGGGCAGGCATAACCTACGGACAACGAACACAATTGTATTTTATCTATGGCAATTTTAATGCATAGAGCTACCGTGACGAGATCCTGAGGCCCGTTGTCGTGCTATTCATTCTCCACCATCACCTCATTTCTCAGCATGATAATGCATGGTCCCATACCGCAAGGATCTGTACACAATTCCTGGAAGCTGAAAATGTCCCAGTTCTTCCATGGCCTGCATATGCACCAGACATGTCACCCATTGAGCATGTTTGGGATGCTCTGGATCGACATGTACGACAGCGGGTTCCAACTCCGGCCAATATCCAGCAACTTCACACAGACATTGAAGAGGAGTGGGACAACATTCTACAGGCCACAATCAACAGCCTGATCAACTCTATGCGAAGGAGATAATGTCGCGCTGCATGAGGCAAATGGTGGTCACACAAAATACTGACTGGTTTTCTGATCCACGCACCTACCTTTTTTTAAAGGTATCTGTGACCAACCGATGCGTATCTGTTTTCCCAGTCATGTGAAATCCATAGATTAGGGCGTAATTAATTAATTTCAATTAACTGATTTCCTTATGAACTGTAAAATCTTTGAAATGGTTGCATGTTGCGTTGTATATTTTTGTTCAGTGTATATACACTACATTACGAAAAGTATGTGGACACCTGCTTGTCAAACATCTTATTCCAAAATCATGGGCATTAATATGGAATTGGTCCCCACTTTTCTGCTATAACATCCTCCACTCTTCTGGGAAGACGTTCCACTAGATGTTGGAACATTGCTGCGGGGACTTGCTTCCATTAAGCCATAAGCGCATTAGTGAGGTTGGGCACTGATGTTGGGCGATTAGGCCTGGCTCGCAGTCGGCGTTCCAATTCATCCCAAAGGTGTTCGATGGGGTTGAGGCCTGGCCTCTGTGCAGGCCAGTCAAGTTCTTCCACGCCGATCTCGACAAACCATTTCTGTATGGACCTCGCTTTGTGCACGGGGGCATTGTCATGCTAAAACAGAAAAGGGCCTTCTCCTAACTGTTGCCACAATGTTGGAAGCACAGAATCATCTAGAATGTCATTGTATAATGTAGTGTTAAGATTTCCCTTCATTGGAACTAAGGAGCCTAGCCCGAACCATGAAAAACAGCCCCAGACCATTATTCCTCCTCCACCAAACTTTACAGTTGGCATTTGGGCATGTAGCATTCTCCTGGCATCCGCCAAACTCAGATTTGTCCGTCGGACTGCCAGATGGTGAAGCGTGATTCATCACTCCAGAGAACGTGTTTCCACTGCTCCAGAGTCCAATGGCGGCGAGCTTTACACCACTCCAGCCGACGCTTGGCATTGCGCATGGTGATCTGAGGCTTGTGTGTGGCTGCTCGGCCATGGAAACCCATTTCATGAAGCTCCCGACGAACAGTTCTTGTGCTGACGATGCTTCCAGAGGCAGTTTGTAACTCGGTAGTGAGGGTTGCAACCGAGGACAGATAATTCTTACCCGCTAAGCGCTTCAGCACTCGGCGGTCCCGTTCTGTGAGCTTGTGTTGCGGCTGAGCCGTTGTCGCTCCTAGACGTTTCAACTTCACAATAACAGCACTTACAGTTGACCGGTGCAGATCTAGCAGGGCCGAAATTTGATGAACTGACTTGTTGGAAAGGTGGCATCCTATGACGGAGCCACGTTGAACGTCACTGAGCTCTTCAGTAAGGCCATTCTACTGCCAATGTTTGTCTATGGAGAGTGCATGGCTTTGTGGCTGAAATAGCCAAATCCACTTATTTGAAGGTGTGTCCACATACTTTTGTGTGTGTGTGTGTGTGTGTGTGTGTGTGTGTGTGTGTGTGTGTGTACAGTGCATTCGGAAAGTGTTCAGACCCCTTGACTTTTTCCACATTTTGTTACGTTACAGCCTTATTCTACCCCATAATGACTAAGCAAAAACAGGTTTTTAGACATTTTTGCAAATGTATTCAAAATAAAAAAAACTGAAATATAACATTTACATAAGTATTCAGACCCTTTACTCAGTACTTTGTTGAAGCACCTTTGGCAGCGATTACAGCCTTGAGTCTTCTTGGGTATGCCGCTACAAGCTTGGCATACCTGTATTTGGGGAGTTTCTCCCATTCTTCTCTGCAGATCCTCTCAAGCTCTGTCAGGTTGGATGGGGAGCGTCGCTGCACAGCTATTTTCAGGTCTCTCCAGAGATGTTAGATCGGGTTCAAGTCCGGGCTCTGGCTGGGCCACTCAAGGACATTCAGAGACTTGTCCCGAAGCCACTCCTGCGTTGTCTTGGCTGTGTGCTTAGGGTCATTCTTGTTGGAAGGTGAACCTTCGCCCAGTCTGATGTCCGGAGTTTCCATCAAGAATCTCTCTGTACTTTGCTTCAATCATCTTTCCCTCGATCCTGCCTAGTTTCCCAGTCCCTGCCACTGAAAAATATCCCCACAGCTGCCACCACCATGCTTCACCATAGGGATGGTGCCAGGTTTCCTCCAGACGTGACGCTTGGCATTCAGGCCAAAGAGTTCAATCTTGGTTTCAAAAGACCAAAGAATCTTGTTTCTCATGGTCTGCGAGTCTTTTTTATTTATTTATTTTATTTCACCTTTATTTAACCAGGTAAGCCAGTTGAGAACAGGTTCTCATTTACAACTGCGACCTGGCCAAGATAAAGCAAAGCAGTGCAATAAAAACAACACAGAGTTACATATGGGGTAAAAAAAAACATAAAGTCAAAAATACAACAGAAAATATATATACAGTGTGTGCAAATGTAGCAAGTTATGGAGGTAAGGCAATAAATAGGCTATAGTGCAAAAATAATTACAATAGTATTAACACTGGAATGCTAGATGTGCAAGAGATTATGTGCAAATAGAGATACTGGGGTGCAAAAGAGCAAAATAAATAACAATATAGGGATGAGGTAGTTGGGTGGGCTAATTTCAGATGGGCTGTGTACAGGTG